GCTCTTTCAAGGCGAAGTCGCCCGGCGAGGGAGGAGGACCCCTCGCCTGCCTGGACGGACCTCGGCTGGCGCCGCGAATGCCGCGTCCAGCCCCGCGAAAGCCTCGGGGTGGCTCATCAGCCCGTCCCGAGAAACAGCTCCTGCAGGACCGCCGGGGAGCGCCCACCCTGGGGCCGCTCAGCCCCAGCCCCTTGCCAGACGCCCCCGCGGCTCCGGGGCAGGCAGCTCCTGGCCCCTCGCGCTCGCCAGCGCGCCTCTTCCGCGCCGGGAGCCTTCCTTGTCCAAGCGAAGCTGAGCTGCGGGCGGCTCTTCGCGCGGCCCCGTCCCCCGTCTCCGCACGCACCACCGCAGACCCGCTGGCACAGGGGCGCGGGGAAGGGGCCGAGCCCAGCGCGTCGGCCCCCTTCCTTTCCCGAGGGGCTCCGAGCACGGGGCAACGCTTTCCTGGGGGAGGCCGCCGGCCGGTCGCGGCCCGCCCGCCGGCGGCGAAGCTGCGGAGGCGACGCCTGCGAGCCACGGAAGGGGAAGCCGCGAGAGGGGGGCGCCGCGCAGCCCGGGTTGGCCCCCGAGCGATCTGCGGGTCCCCGATGCCTCGTTAGCGCTGCAGGCTCCATCCTCACGGGGGACGGACGGCCCCAAACCAGCGTTTCTCGATCTCGGAGCCTTTAAGATGGGTGGACTCCATCTCCCAGAATCCCCCAGCCAGCATGTGCGGACTTCATCTCCCAGAATCCAAGAATCCCCCAGTAGGGAATTCTGGGAGTTGAAGTCCACCCATCTTAAAGGCTCGAGAGCACTGCGCTAAGCACAAGCGGGCAGGGGCACGGCTGAGATTCGTGTAGCAGCCTCCAGGGAGTTTGGATTACAGAGCCCACAATTCCCCACCACGCTGGCTGACTGGGAACTATGGGGGCTGTAATCCAAGGCACCGGGGCGCCAGATTGGAAAAGCCTTCTCTAGGAAGCCGACAGCATTTAGCGCCGAACTACAGTTCCCATAGAACGAAGCGAGGAAAAGCCTCTCGGGGAGGGCAGAAAAGATACGGCGGGACCTGGTAGGCATTTCTCGCGAGGTTTCTCTCGGATGACGGAGCCGGGGAAGGGACTGCGGCAACGAGAACTCTCTTTCCCGTCGTGCTGTGCGGGGGATTCCGCTAGGCCGGACGGGCAGATGCGCGCGCAGGAAAAGACAGAAAGGGAATAAAGGGGAAATGCTTCAGGGAGCGGGGGTGCGAAACGCCGCCGTTTCCGGTTCCTTCATACGGGTCTTTCTGTTCATAAAAAAAAAAAGCGTGGGAGGCGGGGGGAAAAAAAAGGGCCTCGCCCCTTTGGCCGCGCGCGGCC